CCATTGCTGCTTAAAGTGGTATGATACTGCTTAAAACCTTTTAGTATAGATGTGGTCTTGATCTACCTGTCCCTGTCACACAATAATGATGGAACCTGTATCAAGGAAGGGAAACAAAGCATGCACATATGATTCCTTCCTTTTTCTGAGCACAGCCATGTTTCTGGCAATTTACTGCTGGAGACATCAGTGTTTGTTTATTGCATTTATCAGTCACCCTTCCTACAAATGGAGCTCCGGGCAATATATAACAAAAGATAAAATATCAAAATACATCAGTAGATAAAATGAAAGAATGAATGAATGAATTAAATGAATCTAACTTAGTGAGTTAGAGGTCATCATCCTGGGATTTTTGGGGATGTGACAGGTTATGTGGAGTAGCCCGCAGCTCAGAACCATAATCTCCCCTGCTCTGTTGGACTCAGCTGCTAAAGCAGGTTGGGCCCCTTTAATGGACGAGGTTGCTCCCATGGAAGGCAGAGCTAGACCTGTACCAACTATTTAAGGCTCAGTCTGCCGTTGACCTCTCCCAAAACAACATTCAAGCTCTACTCTTCTTGAGTTGCTAAGCTGATCACTGCCTGGAGCTGTCCAGGGTGCCAAGCCTCACCTCAGACCTTTATCTCATCTTGCTCTGTTTGTCCAAACCTGAAGTTTCACCTTGGGTCAGAAACTGTACTGCCGAGGCCATTGCTTGAGACAGATCCCTGCTTGAGCAGTTGGGTATCAGAACATACACAGAGTTCCTTGCAGAAGAAAGGTTCTGAGAGAAACCATATTGGGGCTCGTAACTGGATGTTTCCAAGAAGACAACACTGAAAGTGAAGTTTCACATATTTGTGGGAAACAAAGACATTTACGTGTGTGTGTGTGTGTGTGTGTGTGTGTGTGTGTTTGTGTGTTGCCCAAGAGATGTATGTATTCCACATACATAGGCATGTAGAAGTATCACATGTATGCAACACTCCAAGAGTTATTTTCCCCAGTATCACTCAGAAGTAAAGAGGGCAACATAAAGCAAGAATTAGTTATGAGTTAAAATTATACAAGCATGCACTCTGAGGCTTCCTATTTTTATCCTGACTCTGTATGAAGGGTTTTCCCATGTACTTTTAATGAAACATTGTGACATGACACATTTCTTCCCCTGTGATGTGCTGTTTGGCCTGCCAACTTCCATGACAGAAAAGATTAGCGAGAATGCTGTGGAATTTATTTATTTTTAACTTTGCCTGAACATTCTTGCTGGTTTATAATTGGAAGGGGGGAAAAACCCTTTCTTCTAAGAGTTGAAACTCAGGAAGTATGTGCAACTGAACAATGATAATACTCCCCCATAAGCAGGACTTGAGCACAATAGGAAGCTATCTTATTCTGAGACAGACCATTGGGTCTATCTTGCTCAGCATTGTCTACACCAGGTTTCCCAAACTTGGGTCTCCAGCTGTTTTTGGACTACAACGCACATCATCCTTAGCTGGCAGGACAAGTGGTCAAGGATGATGGGAACTGTAGTCCAAAAACAGCTGGAGACTCAAGTCTGGGAGAAATCCTGGTCTACACTAATTGGCAAAAGTTCTTTAGGGTTTCAGGCAAAAGTCTCTCTCAGCCCTATCTGGAGATGTCAAGGACTCAAGCTGGGACCTTCTGTGTGAAAACCAGGTGCTAGTGCCAATGAGCTACAGTCCTTCTATATAGCAATGGCAGTATCCTGCTCATGTTTCTCTGCAACTGGCAACCAGAGGCATAACACCTCCACTATTGACATCAGGACACAGACTTCAAGACTAAAAGTAGCCTTCTTTTCCACATGAGTTACCTCACCACAGGCAGGAAGACACATACATGACTTTGATCAACAGCCCTGAAAAACTATGCTTGGTGTCTTGAGATGGTTGTATAAGGGTCTTCACCCTAAGCAGTTCTCACAGTTCTTGAATTTTTATTGTTGTTTGAAGCTTTGCCTTCCAAACCCCGCAAAGAAGTTCCTGTGAGTCATTCCCCACAATATGTAATATTGCTCAGACCACTTCAGGTTTTCAGGATTTATCTAAAATAACATATATTTGTTACTGAAAAGTTGGCTTCCTTGACATTTGCAACAGAAATACTGAAGATAAATCTACGTATTCCTCTCTTCAGATAGATCATTGTGATACTATTCTAGTCCCTAATAACAGCAGCAAAGTCACAAGTCAGTTCACCTGCTCAGCCAGCTTTCAGTATAATATATATATGCTATCATCTGCCCTTCTGCATTCGAAGTAGGACAGAGAAGCCAACTTGGTTTGAACTCTACTTTGTTAACTTTATTGACTTTTTGGGACGTTGTTCTCAGGGAACTGAATGCAAGCCACTAACCTGTAAAAAAGAAAAAGACAGTGTTTGGACACAATTTATACTCTCTGTACTTGCCCTGTAAAAGTTAGCCCTTAGATGTTAATTTTACTTGCAACATGAAAAATAATTATATATTGTATCTTACCTGTGTTTTTATGATCTACATTTAAAACAATAAATTAAAACAAACTCAAAACAACAGCAGAAGCATCAGTGAAAGACCAAGGCTAAACCTAGCATGAAATATGCACATTACTCTTCCCAAGTAATTTCTCCCCCAATGTGGACATCATTGTTACTGAATTTACCATCTCTGGGATGGTACAGCTGCTGCATCACCACAAAAACTCTGGGAAAGGCAATAACTTAAACAATGGTTTTAAAGAAAAGAGGAGGGAAATACTTCTTTTGGGAGGAATAAAGAATAACAGAATGAGGCGGGGAGGGGAGGAGGAAGAACACACTCAATTTAAGATTGGGAAAATAGCAAATGTGTCTGTTCTTTTGCTCTTCAAAATATGGCAATTTTACCTTGAGGCATGATCACAGCATGTGGCTGGCAGCTGGCGCAGAAGATGGGAGAGTTGAAATCCCCCTAGCTATTCACTTCACGGCATGGACCTCATTGGTTTTGGTTATTTTGGTTGAATTATTCTGATTGCAGGATTGCGGGAGGTACGCTCTAGGAGGCTAAGGCAGGCAAGGACCGACATCCCAGGTGGGACTCACTAGCTTGGGAAGGAGGTATGTGATTCCTCAGTTGGAGTAGGCTCAGGACAGGTCACATGCCTCATCAAGCCCAGATGCTGCAATGAACATGCAAGATATAAAAGGAAAGGTGTCCTGGCCAGGCCGGCCAGATTGATTATATCCTGTATCTTGATAACTGATGTTGCCATTTTCCCACCGCCATTAGAAACCTTCAGCATTCAGATGACTTGCCTCAGGGATAATTCTTAAAGCAGTGTTTCCCAACCTTTTTTGGGCAAAGGCACACTTGTTTCATGAAAAAAATCTCGAGGCACACCATCATTACAGCCCCGTGACGTCAGCACGCAGCGTCACGCCGGGAGGGACGCACGAAAGTGTAAGATTCAAATTTTTTCCCTCCCCCTTGCCTTCCTTCTGTGCCAACCGCCAAAAAGCCAAGAATCGCGGGACCGCCGGCGGAGGGGGGAGGGCGAGCGGAGGCAGCGGCGAGCCCCGTTCCTCCCCATCCGCCCCATTCCGTGCAAGGAGCGCGAACAGGTGTGAGAAGGGGGTCAAACCTGCGGGTCGGCGCCGGGGAACCTCCAAGCTTTGGGGGTGGGGGGAGGAGGCAGCAAAGCGAGGCAGGAAGGAGAGCGCGGCTTGGCGAAGTACTCGGCGGCGAAGGCCAGCAGGACCGGCGGCCGGTGCCGCAGCACCTCCACCGTGTAGCCCTGCAGCAGCTCAGTCAGACCCGGCGGGATCTCGATGCTCATCTTGTAGCCGAGGCGCGCGGGAGACTCAACGGACGGGCCCGGGGGAGAGAGAGAGAGAGAGACACGACGGAGAGAGAGCGGGAGTCCCTGCTCGCCGTCGCCACCGCTACAACTACTGTGGCGGTTGGTTGTGGTCGTCGCTGCCGCCGCCGCCGCCCACCTCTATCTATCTCTCCCCCTCAGCTTTCTACGCGGGCCTCGAGCCGGAGGTGGGGGGTGGCCGCCGCCGCTTTCTCCGCCTCCACATCCTGCCTCCTCCTCGAGCCCTCCGTCAGCCCTGAGGGAACCGCTGCGCTCGCGCCGCCGCTCTCTGACACGCGAGAAAAAGAAAGGAACGGAGCGGCGGGGTAGTCGGGGGAAGGAGGGGTCGGAATGGAAGCGCGAGGCGAGCTGCGCATGCCCAGCAGGAAGCGGCGGCGAACGCCACAGAGAGAGAGAGAGAGAAGCAAGGGAGGGCGGGGAGTGGGCGGGAACACGCTTCATGCGTCACAATAACGGACAAGAGGCGCTCGAGGGATAGATTAGGACCTAATTTGACTTTTACCAAATAAAAAATAAAAATCTTTCGAATTTTCCCCACGGCACACCAGGCAACATCTCGCGGCACACTAGTGTGCCGCGGAACAGTGGTTGGGAAACACTGTCTTAAAGAACATGTTCTTCATTTTTAGTGCAGTGAGTTTCTCACTCTGACCTTCTGTTGGCTGGGATAGACCTTCGGGACTTGGCCAACTCGTTTCCTGATATTCTTAACAAATGTCAAACTTTGTTTGAAAAGAGCATTAAACTATATATTTGTACACTCTTCTCTAAGGGCACCAAGGCTGCTTGGCTGATATGGGTATCTTTTCCTGTGGGAATCTCTCGTTCAAATCTCAGCTTTTCTTTGCAATAGTAAAAAACCAAAAAAGCCCAACAACAAAATTGTAATGATCTGATCTTGCTAATCCCTCATGACTTCTCCAACACAGATGTGCTCAATTGCCAGCTGGGATAAATGTTTGACATGGACAATGACTGTCATATTAATTTCCCACCAAAGATAAGAGGTACAAGATGGGAGAGATGGGAAGATTCTGCAAAGATGGCCTCTGTATCTATGTGCTCCTCCATCTTTCTTTTTTTTAAGGCAACCTATCTAATATACATAATATATAATATATATATATATATAATATATATAATATATCCGGTGTTGCGAAAGCGGCGGCGAGAAGGCTGCTAAGATGTCAAACCAAAAGAAGTGTCCAGACTGTGGCTCCTTGGAAATTGTAGAGGACTCTCATTATGCTCAGAACCAGCTGGTGTGCACAGACTGTGGCTTCATTCTGACTGAAGGGCTTCTCACAAACACATATGCTGATGAAGAACATTTACAAGAAGTCACATATTCACGGAGTACTGGTCAGAATGAGCAAACGAGCCGTTGTGTACAGCGAGGAGTCAAACGTGTTCGGGATCTCTGCAAAGTTCTGCGCCTTCCTTCTCTGTTTGAAGATACAGCCGTGTCCTATTACCAGCAGGCAATCAAACGTCCCTGCTTCAGTTTAGTTAGCTTGGAGAAGGAGATGCTTGTGGGCTGTTGCGTCTTTGTGACCTGCCGCCAGCACAACTGGCCCCTGACCATGGGCACAGTCTGCCTGCTGCTCTATGGAGACAAGGAGTTGTTTGCAAAGACCTATCTACGCTTCCTGAAGGAACTGGCACTGGATGTGCCTACTCTCAGCTTGATGGATATGGTGAAAACCCACCTCAACAGCTTCAAGATTTTCCAGAATTCACCCAGCGTCCCGACTAAGTTTGTGGAAGAAAAGGAGCAGCTGGTGGCAAGGACTATCCAGATGGTGGAACTTGCCAGCGACACGTGGCTGGTGACAGGCCGGCACCCCATCCCCATAGTGACAGCAGCAGCCTTCCTGGCTTGGCAGTCTCTCCGGCCTGTCGATCGCCTCACTTGCACCCTTTCTCAGTTCTGTAAGCTTGCTGGTATGGATGCTCCCCGGCCAGCCCACCAGAGACTGAAGGAGCTGCATAACATCCTCCTGCAAATGGCTTCTCAGCTGGGCTGGTTGCGAGTGCTGAAAGTGGACCGTCGGAGTGTGGCAAAGTACATCGGTGACCTTCTGCGGCACCGCCGTGTGCTTCTACAGGCTGCCTTCCGCATCGTGGATACTACGGATGACCGTGACCTAGAAGACTCAGCAGCTACGCCACTGCAGCTAATAGATGAGAGCGCTGCAACAGTAGAAGAGGCCTCCCTTTCAGGAGAGAAGCAGAAGTTCAGCAAGCGGAAACCTTTGCTCCCACCCTGCGTCTTGAACCCCGCAAAGAGGCTACGAACTCCTGAGCTAAGCCTTGAAGAATCTGCTATCACTGGGGATGAGCCCATTTTAGACAGTGAGATAGAGCAGTATATCCGGACTCCAGAAGAAAAGGAGATGTTTAGCAAGGCTCAAGCGTGCCTGTGACCTCAAAGCTGCAAGTGATTCAGACAGGCTTGCAAGCAATAGCCTTCTGATACATATTTTGCTCTAGGAGGCTTAGTTTGGTAAGAATAGAGTATACACTTCCGGAGTTAATGCTAAATACAATACTTCTGGTAAATGAGCCATCATAACCACTAGAGGATTGTGAAAATTTGTGTCCTGGGCTTTTTAGACTTGTCTACCTATGTACTGGAGGGACGCGGGTGGCGCTGTGGGTTAAAGCCTCAGCGCCTAGGGCTTGCCGATCGAAAGGTCTGCGGTTCGAATCCCCGTGGTGGGGTGCGCTCCCGTTGCTCGGTCCCAGCGCCTGCCAACCTAGCAGTTCGAAAGCACCCCCGGGTGCAAGTAGATAAATAGGGACCGCTTACTAGCGGGAAGGTAAACGGCGTTCCGTGTGCTGCTCTGGCTCGCCAGATGCGGCTTTGTCACGCTGGCCACGTGACCCGGAAGTGTCTCCGGACAGCACTGGCCCCCGGCCTCTTAAGTGAGATGGGCGCACAACCCTAGAGTCTGTCAAGACTGGCCCGTACGGGCAGGGGTACCTTTACCTTTACCTATGTACTAGGGACGCGGGTGGCGCTGTGGGTAAAAGCCTCAGCGCCTAGGGCTTGCCGATTGAAAGGTCGGCGGTTCGAATCCCCGCGGCGGGGTGCACTCCCATTGCTCGGTCCCAGCGCCTGCCAACCTAGCAGTTTGAAAGCACCTCCGGGTGCAAGTAGATAAATAGGGACCGCTTACTGGTGGGAAGGTAAACGGCGTTCCGTGTGCTGCTCTGGCTCGCCAGATGCGGCTTTGTCACGCTGGCCACGTGACCCGGAAGTGTCTCCGGACAGCACTGGCCCCCGGCCTCTTAAGTGAGATGGGCGCACAACCCTAGAGTCTGTCAAGACTGGCCCGTACGGGCAGGGGTACCTTTACCTTTTACCTTATCTAATATACACAGATTGTGAAGCTGAGGCTCACGATCTTTGGCCACCTCATGAGAAGAGAAGACTCCCTGGAAAAGACCCTGATGATGTTGGGAAAGATGGAGGGCACAAGGAGAAGGGGACAACAGAGGACGAGATGGTTGGACAGTGTTCTCGAAGCTACCAGCATGAGTTTGACTAAACTGCGGGAGGCAGTGGAAGACAGAAGTGCCTGGCGTGCTCTGGTCCATGGGGTCACGAAGAGTCAGTCACGACTAAACGACTAAACAACAACAATCTAATATACGTACACACTGAATGTAAAGAAACAATAAGTTAAATAGAACAATGGTGGCCAATCTTTTTGGCAAGGATAACAGTTGCTCTTGGCATCCATCTGTCTTGAGAGACAATGGAGCGCACCTCTGCGGGTGAAGTCAAACCACTGTATTAACAGTGACAAAGTGACCTCCCTGGGGTGCTAGCCTAGGCAGTGTGTATGGAGGTCCTGGGCTGCCCAAACGACAAGACCCGCCACCACCAGCCCCAGCCTCACTGATGTCCAAAGGAAAGCAGAATAATACATCTGGCACCAGCTTGGCTGCATGACTTGCTGAAAGGAGGCATACAAGGTACCATCCAACCAACTTAGGTCCCATCCCTGACCTAGGCAATCCCGGCCATATAGTGTCACAAATAGAGAGAATTTGCAGAAGAGATGGATTCAAATGACTTTTAGACAAGAGACACATTCAGGTGAAAGCAGGCATCTATTGATATCTAACCTCATGTTTTAGACCTGCCATCTCCAATCTGAAGTCCTTCATTTGCTCCAGACTACAACTTCCATCAGCCCTAGCCAGCACAGCTAAAATATCTGATGGGCACAAGATTGAGGGAGGCTGAACTAAACTATTGCGGGAGAGAGGACAAATATGAGTACATCATCATCTGTTTTTGACCTATCATCACTTCTTGCTTCATCATCTCAGCCCACATTTGCCCTCTACACAGAAGCATTCATTCCGACAGCATTGCTATTTGGATAAAATGAAAAGCTCCTGCTTAAACACTGTTCTAAACCAGCAGAAAGCTAGCAGAGTTTGATTGCAGGAAGCAGATGCAGCAACAAAGCCATTGATTGAAACCCACAAATACACAAAATTATACCTTCTACCTAGATGGGTCTGTGCAGCTTCGCTGGCAATGACATTGCATCGAGCTATGTTTAAAAATACCTAATTGCTCAATGTGCTACATATGTGTTGCCACTGTTTGCTCTGTCTCTGGCGAGATGATTGTCCCTTTCCTGTCACCCTACCCCCCTCATAAACCTCCTTTTTTCATCCCCAGGGGTATGGTACTTTAAATTGCAAAACACGCAGTCTATTCCAAGCCTATCTGCAATAAACCATGCATTTCTTGTTCTCTCTTTCTTATTTATTTTATTAAAAAATAAACACCTACATCAGGGTGGGCTCAGGGGAGAGATCCAAATTTCAGATACACCAACACTTGATACTGTGGGGAAATTATTAGGGTGGTCTACAACTAAGTTTTACTGACAGAAAGCCCATTGAAATTAATAAACATAACTAAGTTACACTCATTAATTTCAGTGGGTCTACTCTAAGTAAAACTCAGTTGACTACTACCCTTGATTATTAATGGAAAATATACACATTTGTTAATTTCTTATAATTACTTTCAATGGCTTGTGATATTTACAGTCTAGGTCTATGCATGTTTACATAGAAATAACTCCTGTTGCATGCCCAAGTCTGTGTAGACTGGAGGTAGCACTCATAGGTGACTATTTATAAAATCTAGTGCAAACTGATTTCTCCTTCCACAGCTTGCAATCTGAAACCTGCTTACTCAGGAGTAATCCTAGTAGAAACAGCAGAACTTCTTCAAAGTGCATGGAGATAGGTTGCAGCTACAACCATTTATTTTATGTGCTTATTTGGTTTCTCGAACCAACAACATACAAGCCATAAGCAGATCTTTTCACAAATAATTTATTTCACACTATTTGGTTTTTGTCTCTGTTCAGTTGTTTTGTTGCCACAGTATGTGTGTATATTCAGTAAAGGTTAAAGGACACACTGTCCTGGATAATAAAATCTTGTATTTATCTAGTGGGTAGCTATGATTCAGTCAGCCCAGTTTAAAATTGCTCTTGTTGTCCTGCCAAATAAATTTGTAGCATGCCCCAAAGGGCATTGCCTTCTTATCCAAAAGAGATGTACTGGTTGACATTATTTTCTCCTTGCAGACATTATTGATTCTGAATAACATTTCCCTCAAGGGGTGGAGAAGTGGGCGGAGGAGGCCCAGCTAAACAGATGCAGCCTGCTGGCGTTAGACACACTTTACCCTGCAGAGGGATGTTTTCCCTGGTTATCCGCTGCTTCATTCCGGTTCAACATATCACCCTCTACTTAGAGATGTGGATAAGTGCCACAAATTAGTTTACGTTGTGCAATGTCTAGGAGACAGAAAGAGTACCATGAACTCACTGGATGGCCTTAAGGAAGCCACCAGTTCTCAACCTCAGTTACCCTCACCTGCGGTGCACCGACATGATTAATAGTGTTTTGAGTTTAGCGGGGGGGGGGGGGACTAGGCTGTATGCCAGCATCCCTTACAATTCCTGGATCCAACAAGGATCCAATTGCTGAAACAGCAATGTAGGTTTCTTGGTAATGGCCCCTACATATGGACCATTAAGGTAACAAAGGAAGTGGTTCTGTGCTAGACAGCAAATGAGTGGAACCCGGCCCCCTCTCCCTGGCTGTTAGTGTGAAGGACAAAGGCCAGAGTTCAAATAGTATAGTGATGTTAGAAACTGCACATATTCTCTCACGGTCAAAAAGGACTGATGACCACTTTAGCAGGGAGATTCAAATGGGATGGAGAAATAGGGTACTGCAGCAGTGGGGTGTAAGAGAGGGTTTGCAGGCTGACTAGTGAAAGGTAAATCATATAATTTATTACCAGCAAAATAGTTTTCCTGCATTCTTGTTTGGATGGGTAAACCAATCAGCCTGTCTGCTGGCAACTGTATGTTTATCATTACAGACAAAAATCAAGGGGAAATGTGGGCAGAGTTTAGTGACAGGATTACAAGTCATTTAAAGGAATAAAAATATTTAGGCAGAGTAACACGACATATTTTGTTTTAACAGTTGGGTGCTGCATAGAATGCATGAGAAAGAAACCTCATGTTAACTCTGAAGTACATCAAAGGATTTCACTATGCAGTATAACATTTATCAGAGGGATTATAATAGTATGGATAAAGTCAGTCTAGGCTAAACCTGAGAGCTTCTAGTGTCTGATCTTTCGTGACAATAAGAATTTTAACTGAAAGGGTAAGCACTGTAATCCTTCTAAGTTGCTGTGCACAGTCAAAAGGACTCTTTGAAGTATGTTAGAGCAATGCTTTTTAGACCAATTAGATCTGACAGTGTGTTTTTAGCTAACCCTTCTATGCACAGATATAGTGTATGTGGCAGACTGGGGGACAAATGGGCTTCATTAACTCTGAACCCCAAAATCTGGGATCCCCTCAAAGCTGGTGCCAAAATGTGCAGTTGTTTTGTAGTGTTTTGCAGGGGGGGAAACAATGTTTTGCAGTGCCTCACAAACGGAGCAATAGCCACTCAAACTCGGGGGTCAAAAGGGAACCAAAAATCCAGCATTGTCCAATTCACTCCAAAGTGGCATCAAACTCTGGCAAATATTTTGACACATTTTGCAGCGAAACCCTCACATTTCGCAATGTCCCACAAATGGAGCAATAGCCACTCAAATCTGGGGTCAAAGGGTAACTAAAACGCTGCAAAACTTTTGCCAAAGTTTTTCACCATTTTAGAGTGAATCGGACAGTGTTGCATTTTGGGGCATTAACTATGAACCCACGGGGTTCTCACTGCAAAGCGCTGCAAAACAACTTCAAAACTTTGGCACCCGTTTCGAAGGGATCCCAGATTTTGGGGTTCGTAGTGAATGAAGCCTGACAAATGCTTGAGTTAAAGCTCTCCAAGCAGCTGCATAATTAAGCTGGTTTCCCTACAAGACTGGATGCACCTTTGCAAGGTTGATCAATCAAGACTATATCTTGCAAACATTCTAATACGTAGCCCCTTTTCCTCCTCCATACAAATAACACTGTATAAGGGTGAAAAGAAATACTGCTTGTTTGTAATCTAGTTTTCATTTTTAAATAGGGTCAATCTCTGATTT